TTGTGCAATAAAAGTAACGTCATAATTTAGTGATTAAACAACGTGGACACATTTAATCTCAACTGAGCATAACATTGACTTTTTCCATGAAATCTAACGCTATTTACTATCTATTATAAAAGTTATAAGGCAATCTTTATAATATTACATTTTGAATGAATTTTTAAAGATACATATGTTAATTAACCTCACACATTTAATTAGTTAACCACATCAATAAAATGTGTAGCGCCGTTCCTAATAAATTAAATTCAATTGACACTTGAAAGAAATAAAACAAATACTAAAGAGTCTTGTGATATGTACTATTTAATAAAAAATACTATAATTATGTAAATATAAAAAGTGATACAAAATTAGTGCCTGATTCACATGTAATAATTTTACCCTATTCAAAATTAAGGTAAAAAAAATAACGATAAAAAAATCATAAAAATCATTACCATTATGAAAAAAATATAACTCGTTATCATTACAGTTATTAAAAAAGAAAGATAATGTTAGTAAAATAAGTTCGTTAGTAAAAAAAAAGTAACGGTAATGACGTTACAAATAACGCCCAAATTACTTCCATTCCCTAATTGTAGGTAAACTGATCGTAACAGAGAAATGTGATGAAATGCAGCGACGGTTGATGTCTTGAGCAAAATTCCTCGCCTAGCACAGACATATACGTTTTAATTGATTTATTATAAAAATATTTAATATTTAATTAACGTTTTATCTAAAAGATTACTAAATAATATTATGTAAATAGCAAGGAAGTTACATCAAGTGGAACACTTGCATTCATATTGAAACACTTGTGAAACATCCACGTCTCGTATACGTTACTACTACATTTGCTGATATATATACCTCTTACGACATAGACTACACAGAGGTAAAAAATAAACCGCTTTACATAGTGTACACACATCACCACATTAGATAAAAAACACTTGTGTTACCAATAATTCTCTTGGCTATGTCCGAACAAAAACTGATGAAACAAATTATGACAACGCTCGATGACAAAAAAACACCGTCAAAACATATTGAAAAATTTATTTACATTTCATTTCCATTAAATAATTGATCGGAAAAATAATGATTTGAAATAGAGTATTCCAAGATGATTGTGTTTTTTCTCAGCAAAAATGTCGAAAAGGATTATTTGCAAATTTTCGAACATTTCGTGTATATAATGTCATATAATTTTTTCATAACTAACATCTAAGAGGAATTTAAAAGAGATTACGTTCAGCTTTTCCATTAAATTTATTTTAAAATTAATTTTACTTAGAAATAATACAATAATTATAGCATCTCGGACTTTTGCATTATCACGTGTAAAAAATATTTATTAATATTTATATATACTGACCTCGCAAAATTAACACCGTAAATAATGAGTTTCATGAGCGGAAGCGAAATCCAATGCCGAAATCAATGATAACATTCATAACAATCGTAACTATAATCGCAACGATAATATATATCAATAGTAACTTTCGAAACATATGCTTCATAACAAACACATATTCGTGCGCCTGCGTATCTCGTATTACATGTCTCACATTACACATACGTACATAAATGTTAATTCTAGTAATACTACATACTGAACATTATCTGAGATATTCAATGACACGATTACTCGATTATATTTACTTTTTAAAATTCTATTGGTACAGAGTATTGCAACTGCAGGTTACATCATTAACCTTGTAACATCAGTATTCTTAAATTTTATCGAGTAATTTTGTATCTACTACAATTCATTAAAAAGGTACTCGATTTGCAAATGTTACTTACCAACATGAGCTGAATTCAATTATCGATTACTTTTTGCAAGTATTTACACAATACTCACTTAATCATGTTGCAATCCTATAGTAACAGATAAATTCGTAATTTGCGTTTATACACTCGCGAACGCAAATTTGCGATTGCACTCTATTCGGTAACTGACTTAACCGATTAAATGCTCCATTCTGCTTCGTAAGCACAGACGTACGTGGCCATTTGCGTCCTCACAATCAGTCAAGTGAACAAATGCGTAATACGTCAAGACAAAGATAGGCGTTCCCCTTAGGAAGTTCTACGCCTCCGACATTGCTGATAGTCCGCGGATAGATGAGTAATACGTTGCGTTGGCTATTTCAATTAGAGACTTACGACTATACATTTGCAATTTTCAAATCAAAAATTGAGCTACTAAATATTTTTTATCTTTCATAGAAATAGTTTTCAATCTTCCGTAGCAGTATTTTTTAATTTAATTGCTATAATCAATTTTTTAAATCATATTAAATAGTGGATGAAAAATCAATTAAACATAAAATAAAATTCTAGAATTTTTTATTTTTAATGTTACTTGCATGTGAAAAAGATCATATTAAATAACTTCAATGTATGTATATTTAAAAAAAAATAAGAGATAGAAAAATAATAGAAGATCGTAAAAATATTATGTTACAATTTAGTATTAAATTTTTATATTGCTATAAGTTCGCCAATTAATTTGTTTGTAATTACGTACTTTTATTTAATTTATCTTCAATATTCCAGAATTGAAAAAACTCACAATCAGTTTTAAAAGCAATAGTACTGTGTAGTATAACATTTGTATAACATTATTAAACAAAAAATAATTTTTATTCAAGCCTTTAAGCGTAAAAAGATAATATTTTTCATAATTTTTTAGGCTTTTGAATACAATTCCGTTTGCTGCAGTATCACTTTACAAGTGAAAGAGAAATTTTCGGTTAAAGTTACAAAAAAGAACTATTTTAGTGCATTTAGCATATTATTATAATCACATGAGAAAAAAATAATTTGTTAACAGCATTAGCTAATAATGTAATATAATTAAAAAATAATCTTGTAAATTTTGAATAACAATATTAATAAAAAACATACATCATACTCTTGTTTTAGTAAAGTACTATGTGTTTTATTATTATTGTTATTTAATTAACAAAATTATTTTTAAATATATTGATGTAAATACAATGTCTTAGCGTCTTAGCGTTGAGACATTACCGTGTCTCCAGATACCTTTTTCCATATACGATATGTGACATGAGAGAAATTTCTAATGGAATTAAAATCAATTAAATCAAATTCATATTATTAGAACTTATAGTCCTTAAAAAATGTGTTCTGTTAAATTTATGATAAAAAGTATAAAAAATATTTATGATTAATGTAAGTTCTATTATAATGGTCAATGTAAAAGTAATTATGACGCAACAAATTTTACCCAAGTAGAACAACAAAAGTCATTATGATATCAAAATTATGTCAAAACGACTTCAAAATGATCATTAAAAGTCATTTTTCAATCATTTTCTGATTTATTTTAACGTCATTTTGACATTATCGTGACTTGTTATTTTGCTTGAGTATATTAATTATAAACATCTTTTCTTAAAAATCGTGTCGTTATAAGGTTACATAAAAATTTTTCAGGTGATATTTAATAGTATCTCTCTCTCTCTCTCTCTTGTGGTTTAACATTAATACCAAATATATGTTATATTTGTTATATTCTAAAAAAGCCGTACATGCATGTTTGTATCATATGTTGCTTTGAAGGACTCAAATGTGAATGTATGCTTGTATGTGTGTGTATGAGAAAACTACATGCTCTCACTCTACCGCTGATAACGTATACAAAAACATGAATATGCGCATTTTATGACGGAACCTAAATGTCGAAAAATATATACAAGATTTCCTGGTGAAAAAATGTTTGAAAATTTCGCTGCAAATACCTGAAAACATCTTTCAGGGATTTTCAATAACATTCAAAGACTTTCTCAAGGAAATTCAAGGATTATCAGAGATTTTTTCTCTGAAAATTATTTCCAAGTGTTTGAAGATCTTTAAATTTCGCTGAATTTCGCTGAAGAAGATTGAAAATAGAATTTTCACGGCTTTTCACTTACGATATTTTCAGCGAATTCTGTAAAAATCATTTCCAAATGTCTAATACCCGAATTCATAGTCCTTTCCTTGAGGAATAAGGATTCCTTGTTCCTTATTTCACGGTTCATGAACCTTCCAAACAAGGAGCCTTATTAGCTTCCTTTTCTCAAGGAAGGTTGCGAGTTTCCTTGAGGAGGAAGTTCCTTCAATCAATCAAACCACCAAATTTAGTTCACACTGGTTTTTTTATTTTCGATAGTTTTTAATTTAGATTTGTCGCATCGATAATTATTTTTGATAGTTTTTTGATAGTTTTTTTCCGGAAATAAATTGCGTCAAAAGTATTTTCTCCTTCTTCATATAATAAGCATTATGACGAATCCGATTGGAAGCACTGATGCATATTAAAGCCGTTGTACTAATTTAATTTAAGTATAAAAATAAAATGCAAATATTTCGAATTATGAAATACATATTTTACCTAAACAGTATAATAAACTATATTGAGCATTTTACAATTTAATCGATTTCCATGTTTATTTATAAACATATATTTACGTTATTTTGTGTATGTACGACAGTTTTAATGTTCATCATGCGCAGTGAGTGCGTCTAATCAAATTCGCTATTAGTTTTATTTTTATTCATTATTGTTGCAAAATGCTTATCACGACTTTATTTAATTAACAATGTCTTTATAACCTTTATTATTCGTAATTCATGATATTAGGTTTGCGTACTATATATTATGATAATATATACTGCCTTCAGTAAATTACTAAAATCTCTAAAATATTCCTTTCTTCGGGAAGACAGACTTGAAATCCATTTATACAAACAAAGAGGAGAATCGAGGAATTCTTCATGGAGGCTTCCTCCATCCTTAAAATAAGGAAGGACTATGAATACGATGTAATACATATGTAAAAGTCCCTGAATTTCGTTGGAACTTAGAAATTTAGTGATATCTCTCTGAAGATAGAATTTTCATGCTTTTTCATTTTTCAAAAACTTTCATTTTTCATGAATATCAAAATACATAATAACATATAAAAACACTTTCAATAAACATTTATTCACTTTCTATCAAATTATAATACATTACATCAACATGTTTTATCATTTTTCTTCAATAAAGTTTATTTGAAAACTAGTCATTTACTAGCAAAAAAATCCATGCATTCTTTTGGAGACCCAGCCATTCCAGCATTTTTTCTGTGAATGTACCCATCATGCCTGTAGACAAGACTCCTATTAATATTCCGGAAACATCTATAACATTATTCATGATTGTGAGGTATCAACTTTTCCTGTTATTGAATCAGAAGAGCCCCACTTACTGAACTACCATCGATTCGATGAGCCAAGCCAAATTAATTTTAATGAGTTTCGCCTTATTAAGCTTCCAATATTATAGCATACAAACATCCAAAACTCTAGTTTGCTCAATTAGAAAGTGAATTTTATGCATATAAAATCCATTCTGACTCAGTCAGTCAAGCTTAACTCAAATCTCCGTCATTTGGATAAAGAACTGTTTATAACAGTGTCAGATATCATTGAAAATTTACCTGAAACAGATAAATATACTTATTCAAAAACTGCACTTATTAATCAATTTATTGATTTGAAAGAAAAAAACTCAGATAACTTTTAACCTAGTTGGAGCTTAATGACAAGAAGCCTATATATTCGTTGCATAAACTCAAACAACTAGTTGATGGCACTATATCAGATAATGTTTTGTACTCTATTTGGCTGCAAAGATTACCTCTTAAGATGCATTCAGATACAAACATCAAGCGTCAAGCAGCGGAAACAACAATCAATCAGCGATACGGACAGTGCAGTAGCATAAAAATATTTTTAACGCTTGCATCTGAATGCCTTTAGAGTTCAAGCAACTCTTGCAATCGTTGAAGATATTCCATTAAATAAATTAGCTAAATTAGCTGAACAAAATTTTGGAATGCAATAATGGTTTTTCATTTGATTAATCCGTTGCTGAAGTTACGAAATCTGATATTTCGACGTCTAGTTTAGCTGACTTGGAACGGAGGATTTTAACTCTTGAAGTTAAACTGTTCACAACGTTATATTTAAGTTCACTCAACAAGTCACGCTGTAATTGCTACCGAAGAAGGAATTTTAGATCAAAGTCAAGAAATTAATGACTCATCCAATTCCAAAGTTTGCTATTATCATAAAAGATTCGGTTCAAAAGTAAATAAATTTACCTTGTTCTATGATGAAAACGTTGGCCTTGATTGATAAGAAATCTAAATTTCCCGCGAGAAAACCACTCCATACTATATGGTGGAATTATTATATGGAATTAACGATTTCTAAATATCTTTTCGGTATTTCCGAAATCCTTTTTCTTGGATATTTAGTTTCTAGTCAGAGAATCAAGTCGACTTATGTGAAAAAGTTAAAATAATTGTTAAATTATAATAAATCTAAGACTCTTCTTAAATTGAGACAATTTCATTATTAATTATTGCAGAAGATGTCTTAAAAACTAATTATCAAGCTTTATACTTACAGAATTTCTCAAGGATAACAGGAATCGTGACAGAAGATTTCCCTCGATTCCTGAAACGAAAAATAAGCCTTCAATAATTACAAGGAAGAATTTTTGCAAGTCACGACTTTATTAACTCATCCAGCTCTGTTCTTCTTGTTCTAATTTATAATGCTTCTGACAGTTGGTGTCATTAGATAGTTGATGAAATTAATATTGCCTTTTTCTCGAAAAAGTTAAATAATTCTCAACGTTCTTACTTATTGACAGTTTTCGGGAATTATTTAACGATTAAATATTTTAGATACTTTCTAAAGGGGAGGATCTCGATTGACCATGGCTTGATTGAACACCATTAATCATAGCAGCCGCTTAGGGGCTTTTTAATCTTAATCGTTAGTTGCTCGTGTCCAATCGAATCATGTCCAATCTGGTGCCACTCTTTCTAGAGAGATGTAAAATAATCATCAGAACTGATCATAAACCGTTAATTTATGCTTTCTGTTAGAAATTGGATAAAGCTTCGGCAAATCCAATAATTTGATTTTATTGCTCAATTTTCTACAGATACAGAACATATCTTTAGGGAACAAAATTTCATTGCGGACACTCTGTCAAGAGTAGATTCTATGTCTATGCCAGTTATTATGTTTCTCTTTCTATAGAAAAAGAATTTAAGATGCATTATAAAGTATATTAAACAAGGAAAGATTCAGTACCAATTTCACGACACGAAGCAGGTCGGTATTTATAATCGATTTTTCCATTTAAGACTGTACAGTCTTAAGATGTCACAAGTCAATCAGAGGATTGTATTAGCATCTTAGAGCATTATTTAAGATAATTTTAAAATAAAAACGAACTATGAATATCGTCCCATGTTTTTAGCGTTTCACAGTTTCGCAGCCTTAGTCTCTTATCGACATTCATAGACAGAGACGGCGGAGATTCAGAGAGAAATGCTTGCAAATTGCACACACCAGGTTATCCTTTCCACCATGATTCGATTCCCGGCAGATCCAAGAAATTTTCACGTGCTCGTAGCCAGTGTTGTTAGATGGACCGGGTTTCAGACGCGTTCAATGTAGCTTCAGTAACATACCAGTCACTAGAAAAAAGGAGATCATTAGTCGCCTATGTAAAATTTTCTCAAAATGTCGTATCTTACATATTTTACATATGTATGCATATAGAGAAATATATTATATATATTTATATATATGTATACGTATGTAAAATGTGTAAAATATGTAAAATATATTAAAATTTTCAACATTTTCAACCCTAAGCCACTAATGATTTCCTACTTATGATTTCCTACTTATTAGTGACCGATACGTTACTGAAGCTACATTGGACGCGCATACGTCTGAAATCCAGCCCGTCTAACAATACTGCTCGTAGCTCCTCTTCAGCGGTCTAGCAAATCACCAAAAGTATTGTATTCAAGAAAACTTTTCGAATTGTCGTTTTGGAACTGGCATTAAACTGTAAGTCTTATATGTATATACAACCTGCGTACGCACCACGGACATACGTACTAAAGATAGACCCTGTTCCAACTTTGGGATACTGCGCTGAGAGGGATTCGATAGCGCACATCGCTAATTAGTCAATTTAAAATAAAATATTCTCATTTGTAAAGCAGTGAAAAATTATTAAGCACTTGGCAATGTGAAGGGATGTATGCTAATGAGACCCTCCCATTACGCTATCGAATAAATAAATGATAGTTTTCTCTAGATAGTTTTTTCTAGATGGCCTGAAGCGATTCCTTTGAGCGAAATCTCAGTAAAGACTTACTACAAACTTTTATACTCACAGGGCTTGAGAGAAGATTTAGTGCTCCTTATGTCCGTCACAACTGATCATGGTTTTCAATTTGAAGCAGCTTATTTAAAGCTCTCACTAACTTAATTGGATGTGAAAGGATTAGAACCTTTGCATACCATTCTTCTCCCAATGGAATCTTGGAGTATCGTACATTGAAAAATGCATTGAAAAGTTATGTGCCACAAAACTGCAAATTGGATAGAGATTTTATCCACTGTTTTATTAAGACTTTATACGTTATTTAAAAAATTTGAAATTTCCGGCCGAAATGTTGTATCGATTTTAGGATTCCAGAAGAATTTTTTGATGAGGAAAACTTATTTGCGGAAATATTTTTAGAAAAACATAGGATTGCCATGAAAAATACTAAATTAAAACTTATGGCACATCATAGTAGCAAGACTTTCTTTTATCATAAAAATTTTTTTGATTGTATACACTGAGAAACTCATTTAGTTAAACCAACCAAGGATTTGTTTGCCCATATCTAAACAAAAAATTATTTTATTGCATCAACCAAGGATTTTTTCATATTCAAACAAGATATTAATTGATTCAACCGAATGAATTTCTCAGTGTACATGTTTGGGTCAGAGACAATACAATTTGTAAAACTCTTCGACCACCTCTGATCTTTTTCGCGTGATTTAATCGAATCAATGATTATTTATTTACCGTTGATATCACAGGTAAATTGGGGGGGTGGTCACGGAGGTAATTTTTGTACAAAGGCTAAGTAATTCAAGTATTCCAAACGAAATTTTGAGTAATTCAAGATAATTTTTGGTAAATAATCTTTAACGTTCTCAGATAATAGGATATTCTTGGATAATAGAAAATTCTAAGTAATTTAAGGATAATATCGAATAATCTATAGGTAATTCTAGATATTCTTAAAGTCGCAGTAAATCTCAAATAATCTGAAGCATAAATCTAAGATAATCTTCGATTTTTGAAGTTACTGAGCGTCATAGATAAACATTTTATACCTTCTTATAATTATATATATATTTTCAATCGATTTTTGACTTAAAAAATTGAGTTTGTAAAAAAATTACTTTTTTATAATCTAGAAATTATTATCTTTAGGCTTTCGAGGTATATCTTATAATACTTTCTCTTTCAGACTGCGAATACATAAGCGTTTAAAAATTACGAAATGCAGCCTTATCTACAACTTTTAGTAAATCATCATTTAATTTAAAAAAAAAATAAAAATTATTTAGTAAGATGTTCTTTAATGACGGTTGAATTAGCAAAAGAAACGATCCTGGCATGGGTGTCCCAGATTGATCGACAAATATTTCGTGTGTAAAGCAAACTAAACTGAGTCGAAGTCCTGTACCATTTTGCAATTTTTGCAATAATTAAGAAGACATTAATTACTAAAAATCGCCGTATATTGGTTTTCAATAATTTTTTACTCAAATACTATCAATTTGACAGAAAAACAATAAGTGACAAAAATTGTTTATTTTCTTCTTATATAATAGAATTCTAAGAATTTTTTCAGAAGTTTTTAGTATCGGATTTTTCATGTTGGTAACAAAAGTTGCCAACAAAAAATTCAGTACTGAGTGTTGATAAAAGTGTTGATAAAAAATTCTGAAAAAATTCTCGGAACTCTATGAGAAGAAATTAACAATTTTTGTCTCTTGTTGTTTCTCTGTAAAGTTGATAGTACTTAAGTAAAAAATTATTGAAAACTTGAGAATTTTTTCAGAATTTTTTAATACCATAAAATGCAGTGTTAAAAAGTTGATAAAAAATTCTGAAAAAATTCTTGAGAGTTTTATGAGAAGAAAATAAACAATTTTTATTTCTTATAGTTTTCTTGTAAAATTGATAGTATTTGAGAAACAAATTATAGAACCAATATTCGGCGATTTTTAGTAATTAATATTTTGTTAACTATTGTAAATTGTTGCGAAAATTGTAAAATAATAAAGGATTTAGTCCGCTCTATCAGCATACGAAATATTAGCGGTCATTCCTTAGTGAGAAATGACAATGAAATTGATATCGATTCGACATCGATTCGACGTTGATTTTATTATCATTTCTCACTGGATCTGGGACACTATATAATATAGAGACGCTCCTGAGCCAGAGCGTCATCTGGCAAGGCCGCTGAGTTTAAAGCGGTAATGAGAGACAGGCGTCGCCTGCAAAAATCAGCTCAAAATGAGCATCTAGTAAATGGGCATCTAGCCAAGAACTGCTATAACAGTTCGATCAAATAAATCTTAGCAAAATTTTTAATTTAACACCAAGTTGTATCGTTTAACAAAAAGTTTGTATTACTATTGATGTTTTTTAAATACTTTTTATTTTATAAAATACTTATTGATATTTATATTCAATTGGATATTATTTTTTCAGTATTAAAAAATCTCATACATTACGAATAGTCGAACTTGTTACTATATATATATATCTCTCTATACGTATGATATGTTACATATTCCGTTTGCGAAATTTTTATATTTTTGTATTCCTGTATGCAATAAATATTTATTTTTTAAAATTGCGTTTTTTTTCTTAAGCAGTGAAAATCTCAAATCGATATCCTCGAAGATACTTATCATAGTAGTCTCAAAAGATATTCTAGAGTGATCTGAAGAAATAATACTTCATGTACTCTTATAAGGTAAGATGAGCAAAATAAATTTAGAAAAATCTCGGGTAATCTTAGAAAATATGACATAATTTTAAATACTTTAAGGTAATCTTGGATATAATATGAGGTAATATTTGATAATCCGAAATAATTTGAGGTAGTATTAAGTAATCTTATGTAATCCGAGGTAATTTAAAGGTTAACTCGTATCAATGATAATTTTTGTGTACTCTAACAGCTCGTGACCAACTCCCCGAGGTAAATTTATTAATATAATATTTCAATCCAACGCTTGAAAACAGCCTTCTTACCTAAAGAATTAGATAGTGAATCCACTGTGCCAACATCGCTAGTTTTCTCTTTGACTTCATAAATTGTTGGAAAATCTTTGAAAACATACTTTGATCCTAAGAAGAAAGTATACATCGCAATGTTTACCGTCACGAGCGAGTATTGTGCCAGTCATCGAGTTCTTTTTGACCGACTTCGAAGATTACTTCATTACCATCCATAAATATTTCATTTCATTCAACACACACATTTACTTATCTCGATGTATCATAGCTAATTTAAATTTTCTATAAAGATCAATGTTTATATAGATAAAAAAATACATAACAATACATAAAAATATTTTCAATAAACATTTATTCACTTCTTGTCAATATTACATTAACATTTTCTTCAACAATGTTTATATTAATTGAAAAGTCTAAACCTCTAGTTATTTACTAGCAAGTAGGATTGGATTATCCGAGGATTTTCTAGGGTATTTTACATTTTGCGGTATTATACGGTAAAATACATAAAAAATGTATAAAATATGTATAAACGTGTAAAACTCTAATTTATAGTCCACGACGACTCCACGTTATACATATTATATATTTTCAACAGTGAATTTTGGAAAACATAGTTATAGTTCATAATATATGTGAATTTTAGCGTGTTATACAAACAAAATGATTCTGATTAGTCGTATTCGTATTATTTTCTCGAGATTCCATTTTTCAAAATTTATAGCGTATTTGATTTACTGACTCAATCCGACTCTGAGTCAACGGTCTGTTCTTTTTAGCTACATTTTGTGCACAGTTTAGTTCTTATTTTGCAACTAAACAGAACAGACCATTGACTCGGAATCGGGTCAAGTCAATAAATCGAATATGTTATTACTTGGATCTGTTTTGCGAGTCGAGAAATCCACTTAGAGAAGAAATTTGTGCGGCATTAAATAGTTAAAAAATGTGAATGTCTCTAATAAAATCTCTAATAAATCTCTAATAAAAAATGTAAATATCTCTAATAAAAATGCTCGTGTAAGTAATCATTATTAATTATTTTTATAAACAGAATTTTGGAATCATTTTTTAAACACTTTTTACATATAGCGTAATAAGCAATTGTTTCCCTTCTTTTCCAATTCGTATAAAATTTTCATTTTCCCAAATATTATGGCGAGATCCACCAAATTTTCGTTTCATTTTAGACTGTGTTCCAAAATTCACTACCAATGTTGAAAATGTATAGTAACGTAAACTGTAGATTTTCAAAGCTGGCAGTGAATTTCGGATCGATTTTTAGCGTGGATAATGTAGAAATTGATCTTATGAATTAAATTACACACATGATGTAGAGGTGGCGCCACATGGAGTATAATACGTACAAAACGAATGAAAGCGCCGGAAATCGAGATTCTAGTCGAATTCTTTAATGAATGTAAGATAGACTTAATAACTTTTTCCCTCTAAAGATTTATTTTGATATATATACTCTGTTCCTTTATTTTAAAATTGTATGTATTGTTAATATTAGTAGGTTAAAGTAGTTATCTTGATGTTAAACTCAAATTCATTATAATCCAGATAACCAAACATGTTGAAGCATAGAAGTGGCAAGCCTTGTCAAATTTATTTGCTGCTCCTGTGCCGGATCTAGTCCTGTGCAACACATATATAGAAATTTACATGTTAAAAAATTATGATTTTAATAATGAAATATAATACGTCTTAAAATATCATAAGCCAATCAAAGGGCCGCATTAGCAACTTAAGATATTACACTTAAGACGGTTTTAAAATAACCTACTATGAATATCCGCCATCAAGTTTCTTAACCTAAATAGTCGTCAACTTTAACGATTCATATTTCGCTTCACGAGACAGAGCGACAATTATTTCTGCCAGATTATTTCGCTTCGTACAAAAACACATCAAGTGAGTCTAATTTTATGTTAAAATTGGAGGTGAGTACCGTATTCTGTATAACTGCCTTATTTCCCAAATTATGCGAAAAATGTTTTTTGTAATTTACAAACTGTTCCAGTTGATAAACTATATAATCATATTGTAAGTCGCATATAGGAAAATTAATAAAACATCTTTTGGTATAAGTGCTTCTCAGAACTTGTTTTTTTTTTTCGTCTATCAAAATCATAACAATATCAATTATAATTTCTCTCTTTTCTAATATACTTTCACATGTATAATTCTTTAGATAGAACAAAGCCATAGACATCTTTTGAACTTGTTTTTGCTAGATTTAGAAGATAATAAATTATTATTTATATATATTCTCTATAAATCCCTATAAGTTTCTCTTTACCTTGAAAACATTCTTATATATATATATATATATATATATATATACACAATATATATATAAGAGATATCATTTACAAAATTAGAATATTCTTCATAAGAATCTGTAAAGATTTGCAGCAGAAGAATTTACATGAAAAATTGCATTAATTTATATTACTTTTTATGTCCATACAGAAGTAATGGCGGCAAATTCTAATTTTAAATTTACACAAACCATATTCAAGGAGGTTATTACCGAAGCGATGAAGTCGTCAAAAAACGATTCCGAAATCAATAAGATGTGTTGAATGTTGAAAATAATGGAAATAATAGTGATGCAACTAATGATTCAAACAGCGATAATATTGACGAAATCGATGACTTAAACATAGCGAAAACAACAGTTGTTTAAGTCGTGATATGTCTTTCTAATCTTAAGGATTATTACGATTATTTATTTATTAGAAGATTATTAAAAATAATTGCAAAATGGTTTGTGCAGCCCCATTTTGCACAAATTCTGCAACTAAAGGTTACATAATGAAAATATTTCCATGTGATACTAAACGTGCATCACGGGCAATAAATGTTGGAAAAAATTAGACATCAATGAAAAATGCATATCTCTGCATCTGTCTGATAATAACTTTAAAATGTTTAATCTGGTTTTGTTTGATTTTAATAATAATAAACGAGTATATAGAGTTTGAATAGGCGATATTTGTATCGGAACATTAAAAATCGATTATATCGATTCAAAGTAGATCTTGTTAAAAAAGAAGCGATTCTTTATAAAGATATCGGTTTAAAATGGCTCTATTTTGATTGGAAAAATTGATTTTTCACAAAATAGATTAGTTTGTAAATGATTTTTAGCGTATCGATACGTGCATTGCCCATTCGTATAATATAGACATTCGAATATAGGCCTAGAAATTACTGAAAAATGACCGATCAAAATTGGATGTTTAATGGCGCGACTTGCATTAGATCTCTAATACGGTCCATGCGTGAAAATGGAACGCACTCTTAGTTATAAGTAACTACAGGGTGTCCCATTCATCACCGGTCGATCTACTTTTTGAATAAAACTCAAACGGTTGAAGTAATCTTGATAATTTTTTTTTTATTTAAGAGTACAAACTTGGGAGTTAATAATGGAATATGATGGCCTCCAAATGGCTTCCAAATGGCCGCCTCGGCTTTTTTGACAGACCACCAATCTTTTCCCAAAATGTTTCATGACGTTTTCGCACAAACTCGGATCAATTTCACCAATGACACGTTCAATGTTGTCTTTCAGCTGTGGAATTGTCTGTGGATTGTCGGCATAAACCTTCTCTGACGTGACCCCAGAGAAAAAAGTCCAAAGGTGTCAAATCGCATGATCTTGGTGGCAAATTGAGTGGTCATCTTTTTTCTTCTGCAGCGCCCAATCCACAAACGTGCGATGTTGGAGATGGTCCAATGGTTGAAGTTCTTGACATAATTGAATCTTATAAGCTTGCAAATGAAGATCTTTCCTCAAAATCCTTTGCAAACTGGTCCTCGAAATGTTCAGTTCCTGAGAACGATGTCGAATTGATGTGCCCGGGGTTTCTCTCACACTTTCAGCAACAGCAGCAACATTTTCACTTGAACGAGCGGTACGGGGACGCGGAGACTTTTTCAGATCTCCAACTGAACCAGTTTCAACAAATCTAGCGACCAAACTTTGCACAGTGCTTTTTGCTGGCACATGATTTCGAGGGAAATGATTACGAAGCTCGCGAATCGTTAGCGCTAAAGATCGTGATTTTTCGTAATACGCCTGAATAATTTGCACGCGTTCTTTCACCGTGTACTTTTCCATGATTAATTTCCCATCTGTCTAGATGATATATGTGAAGTTTGAGGTTAATCGGTTTGACGTTTTAAAAATAGCGCAAAATTCAAATCGACCGGTGATGAATGGGACACCCTGTAGTTACTTCCTAATTTTACTACCTAATCTTTTATATTAGAATCTAAGTCTGTTTCACAAGTTCATTTCTAATATAGTCCATTTCAAAATTATTTTATACGTATAAAGTACGAAACTTGTAATATCTGGCATATCCAGAAGGGGAGGGTCTGGGAGTTCAAATCCCTCCTCCCCTGAAATTTTTTATTAATTATTTAATTCTAAGAGGATCTCGTTAGCGCATATCCTGATAACATACATTCACTCACATCGATCGGTGCCTAATAATTTTTCAATAATTTTTCAGTAGCTTTACTAATGAGAATATTTTATTTTGAATTGGCCAATTAAGCGATGTACTCTATCGAAATTTCTCTTTCATTTTTAATTATAAAAAACATATAATTTTACTTTTGATTTTATGTAAGTTTTTTGCTGTTACATAAAATAATTTTTTCTTTTTGTAAGACCATATAAGTAATTTTGAATACTTCTGTTCGAGCATACAATAACAATATTAAAGAATTAAATATTTTGCTTGTAAAGCTATATTGTTTTTCTTTAAAAAAAAATCTTTAAAAAATAAATAAAAATTACATGATGTACAAAATGTAACATTTTTTCTCTTCAAAGAGACATTAAAAGTGGTAAAAATATCCAAATGGAATTCATTAGTTAACAATTGTTGTAAACATCACAATAACAAAATTGATACAGTGACATTCTTT